CTGGGAAAGGGCTGCCTCCTCAGAATAGACCCAACCTTAATGATATGGATGGAGTAAAGCTTTTGGGACCTCAATTTGCTGATGTGGCATGACTCAAGATGAGAAGCAGCAACGGGAGGTTGTCAAGGGATTTGGCTGCCAACCAAATGGTCAGTGCTTTGAGTCCACCAGCTGCTCTGTGGGAGAAAGATGAGGCCAGTCTGCTTCTGTAAAGATCACAGCTTTAGAAAACCCAATGGGGCAGTTCTGCTTTGTCCTGTTGGATCACTTTGAGTTGGAATCAACTCAGTAGCAGTGGTATTGGGTTATATTGTTGGATGCATAAATGGAATGCATAAAGATCGATATCCTAGGCATTAGTGAGCTGAAATAGACTGGTTTGGGCCATTTTGAATCAGACAACTGTATGATCTACTGTGCTGGGAATGATATTTTGAAGAAGAATGGTGTGGCATTGTAGTCACAAAGACTGTTTCAAGATCTCTCCTGAAGTACAGTGCTGTCATAGGATATCATCAATATGCCTACAATGAAGACCAGTTAATACTGTTATTCCAATTTACACACCCACCACCAAAGCCAAAAATGAGAACGTTGAAGATTTTTACCAACTTCTGCAGTCTGAAATTGACCAAACATGCAATCAAGATGTGCTGATTATCACTGGTGACTGGAATGCAAAAGTTGGAAACATAGAAGAATCACTGCTAGTTGGAAAATATGGCCTTGGTGATAGAAATAACACTGGATATAGCGTGATAGAATTTTGCAAGACCAACAACTTATTCATTGCAAATACCTTTTTTCAACAACACAAACGATGGCTATACACATGGACTTCACCAGATGGAGTGCACAGGAATCAGATTGTGTCAAGAGGTGATAGAAAAGCTCAATATCTTTAGCCAAAACAAGACCAGAAGCTGATTGTGGAACAGACCATCAGTTACAAGTTCAAGCTCAAGTTGAAGCTGAAGACAGTTAAAACCAGTCCACAAGAGCCAAAATATGACCTTGATTATATCCCTCTTGAATTTAGAGACCATCTAAAGAACAAATTTGATGCATAGACTATCGGTGACTGCAAACCAGAGGAATTTTGGGATGACATCAAGAACATTATCCATGAAGAAAGGGAAGGTCATTAAAAAGACAGGAAAGGAAGAAAAGACCAAAATGAATGTCAGAAGAGACTCTTAAACTTGCCCTTGAACAGAGAGTAGCTAAAGCAAATGGAAGAAATGAAAAGGTAAAAGAGCTAAACAGAATGTTTCAAAGAGCAGCTCAAGAGGACAAAGTCAATTTTTATAATGAAATGTGCAAAGACTTGAAGTTAAACTAAAAGGGAAGGACACGTTCGGCATTTCTCAAGCAGAAAGAACTGAAGAAAAAAATTAAGCCTTGAGTTGCAATATTGACAGATTCTATGGGCAAAATATCGAATGATGCAGGAAACATCAAAAGAAGATGGAAGGAATATACAGAGTCACTGTACCAAAAAGAATTGGTCAATGTTCATCTGTTTCAGGAGATGGGAATCAAGAACCAGTGGTATTAAAGGAAGAAGTCAAAGCTGCACTGAAGGAATTGGCAAAGAACAAGGCTCCAGGAATTGATGGAATACCCATTGAGATGTTTCAGCAAACGGATGCTGTGCTGCGGGTACTCACTTGTTTATACCAAGAAATTTGGAAGACAGCTACCTGGCCAACTGTGGTAGTTCAGTTTGTTTGTCAACTTGTCTGGGCCTGGTTGAGTGGCTGGGCAACTGGATGTAGTATTCCCCATGATGAGACTGGTAGTCAACTCCATGGTGGAATCTACTGTGAGCAGCTGAGTAGCTGCCTTAGGGGTGTGGTCTGCTTCCTATATATAAGCAGAAGCCTTTGGGAATGGTCTCTAGCTTATGGCATGTTTGGACCCTGCATATAGCCGTGTCATTTTTCAGCAGCCTGCCATGCTCTGCCAACCTTGGGACTTACAATGGACTTAAATTAATGACCTGCCATGTGGTTTGGTGATTTTTTACTTGTCAACCTTGGGCTTGTCATCCTCAGCAGCCAACAGCTGTCTGAGTGAAGAAAAGCCTCTAACTTCAATGGGCTGGGAGCTGGCAGCAGAGCTGAAGCACAAGGCTGGGGGGCTTTCACCCAGCCCTTAGAGCTTGGCACTTTGAACTTGGACTTAAAGCCTCCAAATTGTAAGAATAAACTCCTGTTTGTTTAAGCCATCACATTTGTGGTATATTCCTGTCAGAGTGGCACTAGGTAAGCAGAACACTAACTGACTGGAAGAGATCTATATTTGTACCCATTTCAAAGAAAGGTGATCTCACAGAATGTGGAAGTTATCGAACAATATCATTAATATCACATCTAAGTAAAATCTTGCTGAAGATAATTCAAAAACGGTTGCAGCAGTATATTGACAGAGAACTTCCAGAAATGCAAGCTGGATTCAGAAGAGGATGTGGAACGAAGGATATCACTGCTGATGTCAGATGGATCTTAGATGAAAGCAAAGAATACCAGAAAGATGTTTTACTTGTGTTTTATTAACTATGCAAAAGCATTTCATTGTGTGGATCATAACAAATTATGGATAACATTGACAAGAGTGGGAATTTCAGAACACTTGATTGTGCTCATCAGGAACCTGTACATAGACCACAAGGTTGTCGTTCAAACAGAACAAGAGGATACTGCATGGTTTAAAATCGGGAAGAGAGTGAATCAAGGTTGTATCCTTTAACCACACTTACTCAGTCTGTATGCTGAACAAATAATCTGAGAATCTGGACTATATGAAGAAGAACATGGCATCAGGATTGGAGGAAGACTCATTAACAATCTGATATGTAGATGATACAACTTAGCTTGCTGAACAAGAGGATGACTTGAAGCACTTACTAATGAAGATGAAAACTTCAGTCTGCAGTATGGATTACATCTCAACATAAAGAAAACGAAAATCCTCACAACTATATCAATAACCAGCATCACAATAAATGGAGAAAAGATTGAAGTTGTTAAAGATTTCATAATACTTTGTTCTACAGTCAGCACAAATAGAAGCAGCAGTCAAGATACCAGATGGCGTATTGCACCGGGCAAGTCTGCTGCAAAAGACCTCTTTAAAGTGGTGAAGAGCAAAGATGTCTCCTTGAAGACTAGTGCCTAAGGCACTTGACTGCTAACCAGAGGGCTGGAGGTTCAAACGCACCAGCTACTCCTTGGAAGGAAGATTGAGCAATCTACTTCCATAGTGATACCACCTCGGAAGCCCGAGGAGGGGTCGCTGTGAGTCAGGTCTGACTTGACAGCCCATAACAACAATAACAACAACAGCCCAACTCATAGTATTTTCAGTCACCTCATATGGATTTGAGAGCTGGACAATGAATAAGGAAGACTGAAGAAGAGTTGATGCTTTGGAGTTGTGTTGGCAAATAATACTGAAAGTACCATGGACTGCTAGAAGAATGAACACATCTGTCCTGGAAGAGGTGCAGCTGGAATGCTCCTTAGAAGCAAGAATGGCCAGACTTCATCTCACCTGCTTTGTTCATGTTGTCAGAAGGAACCATTTCCTGGAGAAAGGATATCAAGCTTGGTAAAGTGGAGGGTCAGTGAAGAAGGGGAAGGCCCTTAACGAGATGGATTGACACAGTGGCTGCAACAATTGGCTCAGATGTAGCAAGGATTGCGAGGCTGGCACAGGACCAGGCTGTGTTTTGTTCTGTTGCACACAGGGGCCCTATCAGTCGGAGCCAACTTGACAGCACCTATCAACAACACAATACTTTACTGAATGATACCTTTATGACCTGAAAGGATTAATGCTTCCAAAGATTCTAATTTATTTTCAAAGACTAATTACATTCTGGAGTAAAACAACTAATTGATACATTTCGTTCTTTCAGAGAGTTAATGACTCTCTCAAAGAAATGGCACAATCTCTTTAAAATTAAAGGTAGTCCATCTTCAAAAATGAATAACTCTCTGAAGTATCTTTATATTTTAAGTGTTTTGGTATTTAAGAAGTCAATTTGTATAACTTTTCGTTTTAAAAAATCTATCAATTACTTGTTTTACGCCAGGCATTGTGCTTGCTTCGTTATATACATTAGCTTATTTATCTAAAAAAAAAAAAAAAAACAAAACTCACTGCTGTCGAGTTGGGTTCGACTCACAGCGACCCCTCCTTGGGTTTCTGAGGCGATATCTCTACAGATATCTATACTCGTTCCGGGGAGTGGCTGGTGGATTTGAACTGCCAGCCTTCTGGTTAGCAGTCAGTTGCCTTAGTCTTTCTAATATCTCTATGAGGTAGGTGATATTATTCTCATCTTTATAGATGATATAATTCAGGCTCACAGTGATTAGATAATTGTCCCAAGCTCAAAAACTTAATCAGATGTAGAGCTGGCATTCAAACCATTTCTATTGACACCAAAGACAGTGCTGTTTATGTTATAGAATTTTGTATTTCTTAACATAGAAAACCAAAAATATGTATTCTTTTTGTCAGCGGCAGTCACAGCTTTCATCGTTATTTTCCACATAGGATATTTTTATTTATGTAACGAAAGTGTATATAAATATATGTTATTTATCAAATTATATGTGTTTGTGTATGTATATATATATATATATATATATATGAATCTATGTATAATATTTCATATATTTTTAAAGGTTGCTGAAAGAGGCACTTTCTAATATTGTGTAAGTTATATAAGTTCCTTTAAACACTAAGACTATACACATCTATTTTTGTTTTTTCCTACTAAGATGGTACACATAAGGTACTTAGCAATTGTAAAAGTAAACTATGGAAAAAAATACTCAGTAACTGGTAGTTATTATCATATTTTCATTCTCATACTGCTAAAAATATTAGTTGTTAGTCAGTTTTAGAATGTGTGTATTATTATAAATTATAATTATTGGTTGAAAGCATGATCTGACTTTTGTTTTGTTTTTTTTTTTTTTGGACAGCAACTTGAATTGGTGGAACCAAGTGGCTGGATTCATGTTCCCTTAACTGATAATCATAAGAAGCCAACTCGAACATTTATGATACAAATTGCTGTTCTAGCCAATCACCAAAATGGAAGAGACACCCACATGAGACAAATTAAAATATACACACCAGTGGAAGAGAGCTCCATTGGCAAATTTCCTAGGTGCACAACTATAGATTTCATGATGTATCGTTCAATAAGGTGACTTTAAAGCAGAACAAAAGACATTAAACCTATGTTGTCATTAAATACTATATCTGATATCTTTATTGAGAAAAAATTAGTCATTTTACAGTTTTGTATGCATTTAAGAGTAGTTTATTGTATCTTGAATAAATAAAATGAATTTTGGGTCATAATGTCTGTTTTCCTTAACATTTGTTAAAGCTCACATATTTTTCATTACTGAAAATAGATTTGAAGTCAGTTATATTTTTCCTTACATTAAAAGTAAATGAGTTGAACTGAAAATTTTAAGATGTATAAAATTGTTTATTTACCAGGTGATTATTTCATGTAATGGTCATACATTAAAGTAATGAGTTGGTAACAAACTATCAATTGATATATAGTCCTTAATAAGCAAAAATTATTTTTTCAATCCAGAAAGATTTTATACATTTAATACTGGATCTTATTAAAAATATTATCAAAGTAAGCTTAGCATTAGGTATCTGATGAGAACAATACTGGCTTAAGAAATTTAATTTATTGTCTCGTATTTACTTCTATTAGATACTTTTAAAACATTTGTTATTGTTTATTGCTGTCCAGTCAACTCTGACTTGTGGTGCCCTGTAACAGAACAAAATATTGCCCAGTCCTGCGATATTTCCATGATCTTTGATATGTCTGAGCCCACTGTTGAAGCTATTTGTCAATTCATCTCATTGAGGATTTTCCTCATTTTCGCTGACCCTCTGTCAAACATGATATCCTCTTAAAGCATTGACCTTCCTGATGATGTGTCCAAAGTAAGCAAGACAAAGTCTCACCGCCCTCACTTCTAAAGAGCAGTCTGGCTGTACTTTCCCAAAGACTGATCTATACATTCTCTGGAGTCCATAATATATTCAGTATTCTTTGCCAACACCACAATTCACATGCATTAATTATTCTTCTGTCTTGTTTTTTCATTGTCCAGCTTTGCATGCATGAGGCAATTGAAAACACCATGACTTGAGTCAGGCACACCTTAGTCATCAAAGTGAAGTCTTTACTTTTTAGAACTTTAAATAGATCTCTTGTAATGCATCATTTGATTTCTTGACTGCTGCTTCCATGGGTGTTGATTGTGGAGCCAAGTAGAATGAAATCCTTAACAAGATCAATTTTTTCCTCCATTTATCATGATGATGTTTATTGGTCCAGTTATGAAGATTTTTGTTTTCTTCATGTTCAGATATAATCTTCACTGAAGGCTGTGATCTTTTACCTTCACCAGTACATGCTTCAAGTCCTCTTCGCTTTCAGCAAGCAAGGTTGTATTATCTGCATATCATAGTCATGCGGTCTTTTGCCAAGCCTGATGCCACATTCTTTTTTATAAATCCAGCTCTCAGATTGTTTGTTTAGCATATAGATTGAATTAATAAAGTGAAAGGAAACAACCCTGATGTATACTTTTCTCCAGTTGGGAACCACACGGTATCCTCTTGCTCTGTTCAAGTGACTGCCTCTTGATCCATGTGTAGATTCTGCATTACCACAATTAAGTGTTCCAGAAATCCCATTCTTCATAATTCTCTGTAATTTATTATGATCTACAGAGTCAAATGCCTTCATGTAGTGGATGAAACACTGTTAAATATCTTTCTGGTATTCTCTGCTTTCAGCCAAGAAGTGTCTGTCATCAGCAATGATACTCCGCTTTCCTTATCCTCTCCTGAATCTGTCTTGAAGTTCTGGCAATTCCCTGTTGACGTACAACTGCAGTTGTTGAATAATCTTCAGGATTTTTCTGTTGTGATATTAGTGATTGTTCAATAATTTCTGCTTTCCACTTGATGGCCTTTCTTTGGAATGACATAAGCAGCATCATGATAAATGGAGAAAAGGTGGAAGTTGTCAAAGATTTCATATTACTTGGGTCCACGATTAACACCAATGGAAGCAGCAGTCAAGAAATCAGATGGCATAGTGCACTGAGCAAATCTGCTGCAAAAGACCTCTTTAAAGTGTTGAGGAACAGAGATGTCTCTTTGAAGACTAGGTGTGCCTAACCCAAGCCATGGTTTTTCAATTCCTTGATAGGCATATGAAAGCTGGACAATGAATAAGGAAGACCAAAGGAGAGGTGATGCTTTTGAGTTTGGTATTGGGAAATACTGAAAATACCATGGACTGCCAGAAGAACTAACAAATTTGTTCGGAAAGAAGTGCAGCCGGAATGCTCCTTGGAAGTGTAAATGGCCAGACTTTGTCTTACCTACTTTGATTATGTTGTCAGAAAAGACCATTCCCTGGAGAAGGATATCACGTTTGGTAAGGTGAAGGGTCAATGAAAAGGGGGAAGGCCCTTGATGACATGGATTGATGGACTCAGGTGTAACGTGGGACCAGGCAGTGTTTCGTTCTGTTGTACATAGGGTTGCTATGAGTCAGAGCTGATTTGATGGAACCTAACAACAACAACTTTGGAAAGGGCACAGATATGGACCAATTCAGGCAATTGGCTAGGTACCTGCCTTCTAAATTCTAGACATAGATAGATGGTGAGATGCTGCAGCCTTCTGTCAGTTTTTTGAAGCATCTCAATTGGTATCTGTTGATTCATGGAGTCTTGTTTTTCTGTCAGTGCCTTCTGTGCAGCTTGAGCTGCTTCCTTTACTACCAGCTCTCCTTGATCATGTGCTACCTCTTGAAATAGCCGGTTGTCCACCTGTTCTTTTTGGTACAGTGCCTCTGTATATTCCTTTGATCTTTTGGTATTTTCAATTATTTATTCTGGAGTCCTTTAGTGTTGCAACTGGTGGCTTAAATTTTGTCAGTTCTTTCAGCTTGAGAAATGCTGAGCATGTTCTTTCTTTTTGGTTTTCTAACCCCAAGTCCTTGCACATTTTAGGAGAATACGTTGCTTTTAAAAAAAAAAAAAAAAAA